AGGAAATCAATACCCATTATTTTCCTAGGTTTTCTAATGGTTACCTTGAGGCTATTACGGTGACTACACAGTATTTTTGGAGGCGGGGAGTCTGCATTTCTACTTCCTTAACTTCATATCCAATTTAAGACCTCTGGACTAGAAGCTGTATTTTAGCTATTCCAGTCTCTGTACAGAATAAGACCAGGTAGGGGTATAGTACAATTAAATTTTTTCTTACCAGCCACATTAAGAATCTAATTAGTCATTTTTCCCTTCCTCCAGAGCAATCTAGCCTTGATTTGCCAGAGGATAATCCTTTGCAGTAAAGAAAAATCAGTGTTGGGGTTTGTCTTTAAAATGTTCTGTTTATTCCACCTTCAGTCTCAATCCTTCCCCACAGCCCTTATTTTTTAGCCATTTCAGTTCTTGAAGTCCCTGTTCTTAAAATTTGCTACCCTGTTTTTCTCTAGATGAACATCTGAAGTTTGGAAAGGGAAGGGGAAAAATACCCTGTTAGCTCCTTAAGAGGTTCCTGTTTTGTTCCCCTCTACTTCAGTGCCTTCAAGTGTAGAGTTGATACTTTGAAGATGGGGAAGTATTTTCTCTTGCTTGGTTTCTGTAGTTCTGTTCTTTTTCCTAGTTGATGTTTGCTCCTCCCTGGAACTATCTGGACTTATGATGTGGGAGGGTTTTCCAGGTTAAGATGCCTCTTCTGTTGGGAAGATTCTAAAGTGACTGTCCGAGGTGGGCTTAACTTCTGAAGGCTGGCTTTGTCATAGGCATTGGTTGGGAGGATTTGGGTTCTGGAGTTTGAAGGGGGACTGCTGTTGAATTGTGGGTAAATGGAGAAGTCCTTATTTGTGATTTGTTCACTTAACACAGCGTTTCTAAAAAATTTTTTTCATCGGGGTGTTTGTAACAGCAGAGGACAAGGGAAAAGATCCTAGGGCATAGAAGGAAACCCAAAGTTATTCTGGTTTCATTTTGTCTTCATGGGACCTAATGTATTTTTAAAATCATGCTTTAAATTCCTAGCTGTTTTGTTTCTTTTCAAATCTTTTAAAATTTCTTTTGAAATGCTAGATTATTTATCCCATGGCCTTTTCTGTCTTGTTAATCCATTGCCAAACCCTAGGAAGAAGAAGAGTGTAGTATATATTTCAGCTTGAGGAAAACAAAATGAGTGGTTATACTGCTATGATTTCCTTAAAACTGTAGTAGTTATAGGAAGAAGTTTGTCAACTGGAAACATGCAAGTAGTGGTATGGGTTAGGGCTTTTCATGGAAACAACTACAAAAACAACCAATGTATTTAGTTTCTGTATCCCACATAGGCTTTAGGAAATAGCCCACTCTTACCTACACACTTTCCCTCCTTGCCTCTGTACTAGAAGTGTGTAAATGGAAACTCACCTTTATGCCAGCACTTTAATTAATAAAAAGCTGAAAAACTCCCAAGACTAGAGAAACTGGACTAAGTGAGCCAAGGCTCCAAGAATAAAAATGCTCTTGGGGACTGAATTGAGCTGTTCCTCTAGTACTTACCTTATGCAGTAAAGGTATGGATTCTGAGCCCAAAAGTTGTCTCTTCAGGGACTATCTAAATCTTCAGGGGCAGGACATGTGGGGTTTTGGTAGATTGATTTGAAGTGGACACTACATTTTTATTACATTCTTTTTGGCTTTGGCACAGAAGTGTTTTGAAATCATATATGCTGATGAGGTTTGGTCGTATCCCCTTGCTTCCCCCAAAAAAGAGCTCACCTCAGTCTCGTACATATACTCCACATCTGTCTGGAAAAGGAAAACAAACCCTTAGGGAACCTGTGTGTCATGAACTCTTATGATCTCAGGACTGACCTGAAGGTGGAAAAACAGACCAAAATTCCCTTTCAGTGCTATAGCTAGCAAGGCTGCAGACGTCACTTGACCCCAGGAACAGGGCCAGCAGCTAGCTGAGCTAACCTCCTGTCTGTTTCCTCCTCCCTCAGGCGTATCAGTCACCTCCAGCAACACGGGCGTGCCAGATATCTCTGGATCTGTGTACTCCAAAACCCAGGTAGGTGCCTGGCTCTGGACAGAAGTAGAAAAAGAGACAGAGATGTGGTGGCTGAGGATCGAACCCAATGCCTCACATGTGCGAGGCAGGAGCTCTTCCATTCAGCCCCAGCCCCAGCCCTGACTACCTTTTTAAAATGGTCTCTAGATTTCAGTTTTTCTAGGAGTTTGAATTTAGCTCTCTGAGAAGAAACCACAAAGATGAATAGGAAGCCAGGTGTGCTAAAAGGCCTGTAATCCCAGTGACTCAGAGCCTGAGGCAGAAGGATTGAGAGTTCATAGCTAGCCTCAGCAACTTAGCAAGGCACTTAGCAACTGAGTGAGACCCTGTCTCTAAATAAAATACAAAAAAGGGCTGGGGATGTGGCTCAGTGGTTAATTGCCCCTTAGTTCAATCCCTGGTACCAAAAAAAAAAAAAAAAAAAAAAAGGAATAGGAAAGTGAGGTATGGTACATTGTTATAATGTGATGTGAGTTATTGTGCAGTTGTCCTGGCTTTTTTAACCTACCCATTCCCAACCTTTTTCATAACTTTCCAAAAGAAAAAGTACGGGAAAAGGAAACTAGTTTATTCCATTCTTTGTGAATAAATCTAAACAAAGAGTAGGTATGGAAAAGGAGATAACCCAAAACCTAAGTGAAGCATTTGTTACACAGTTAGCCACAAGTTTTTTTGTTGCTCTTCTCCCCCATCACCATAAATAACTAAAAAGTTTGCTATAAAATGTTAGGGGTTTGGAGATCAGGAAGTGCCTCAGAGCCAAGACCTTGAACACTCAGAATTCCTCACTATATATCCATTTCTTTTGGAATGTCCAATAGTTTAATTTCTACCCAAGCCCAGGGGCAGGGATGCCAAGGATAGTTAGCAAATTTTCCTATGTTTATGTACAACACTAGTTAATTTCACATTCATCCTTCTGTTTGATCCCTACAACAGAGAGGTCAGTAGCATCCCTGTTTCAAGTATGAGGCAACAAAGGCTGAGAGATCAGTATTTTCCCAGGATTGGGTAGCTGTTAAAAGGGCAAGAGTTGGGACTGAGACTTTTATATCTGACTCGAGATATTCTGTTCCTTCTGACTATGCTGTTTTCTGAGGATGGGGGAGCTTTGGCTCAGAAATTCCCAGAATTCCTGTGCTGATACCTTTTATTCTTTCTCCTTCTTTCTTCCTGGACAGCAGTCCTTTGAGAAACAAGGTTTTCATTCCGGTACTCCTGCTGCCTCCTTCAACTTGCCTTCAGCCCTAGGAAGTGGGGGGCCCATCAATCCGGCCACAGCTGCTGCCTACCCACCTGCCCCCTTTATGCACATTCTGACCCCACATCAGCAGCCGCACTCCCAGATCCTTCACCATCACCTGCAGCAGGATGGCCAGGTAATAGCCCTTTTCCCTCTCTCCTTTCCCTTCCTCTTCCTTCCTGTCCCTTTAAACTGCCTCCCCTTTCCTTTTCTTACCCTTCCTCACCACCGCCTTCACCCAATCCTCCCCAGCGCCAGCCAGGGGCACACAGCACATACAGACACAAGCGCACATAACACAAGCGGCCGGCAAAAGAAATGTCAGAGAAGGGGCCAGATCAAAACCCTTTTTGCCCATTTCCTTTGGTGTCTTTTTTCCTCCACCTCTTCCCATGGCACAGTTGTCCTCATCCCATCAGACCTGGGTCACACCTTCCCTTTTACCTCTCCCAGCCTTCCCCCTTTCCTGACATTATAGCTTTCCCTTCTAATGGTGGAGTTCTATTGTCAAAGTTTGTCCCTTTATTTTCCATATATCCTGGTTCTGCCTCAGCTACCATATTTGCAGATGATTCTCTGTTGCCAGCGCCAGCAGGAGGAGCAGGTAATGAAACTGAATGATGATATGCTTGAACCCACTCCTTTTCAGACCCCATTTCACCTCCAAAGCCTCAGGGAAGTTGAAAAGATTGCGCGGTCACACATCGGGATACACAAACACAAAACACCTTGCTGAGCTCTCTGGCCTCCCTATCCTCTGTTCTCCTTCCCTCCTCAATACCCTCTTGATCTTTCTATCCTTCCCCAACTCTGGAAAAACACTTGGTTACCATACCAGAATGGAAAAGATTGGTGGGGCAGAATCTGGAGCCTGAGGCTTCAGACTGTCTCTCCTTTCTTGCCTGAAACAGGCTCATAGATGTGATGTGTGGTGGTGGAGAGATCCACGGGGTGGTACAAGAAACCTCTTGAGAGCTCCATCATAGGTGGCTGGAGACCTAGAATTAAGGGGTTCCCTGCTCTCAGCTTTTCAAGTTGAGGCATTTATAGGACTTAATGAAAGTGGTCACTCATCTCCCAGAACCATAATTCTCATAGTACCCTTTTATTCCAGACCCAGGTCAGGGGTAGTGAGAGAAGGTAGAATTCAAAATGGGTAGAACTTGAGTTATTATCTTATCTCTAAAGGCATCTTGTCCTCTTTCCACCTTTCCCCTATTTAAAGGTCAAAAATGCTTTCTCCCATGGAAGAGAGGGGGCTATATTAGCTATGGAGACCAAATTTTCTGTGGTTGAAAAGTAGATGTCAATAGAATCTGAGCAAGGGGAACAGGAGAATAAGGCAGTTTTACACATCTCCACCTGGACATGTTACAGATTTGTCCCACTAACTAGACACCTTTTTCCTCCCCATCATCCTCCCATTCCCCTGCAGACGGGCAGCGGGCAACGTAGCCAGACCAGCTCCATCCCGCAGAAGCCCCAGACCAACAAGTCTGCCTACAACAGCTACAGCTGGGGGGCCAACTGAGGCCCTGACCCTCCTCTCCCGGTCCTATCTTCTGAGAGGGCTTCTCAGCCTGGAAACTATGGAAACAGCATCAAAGAGAGAAAGGAATGTGGGGGGGTTCCGCTGCCCCCCACCCCCAGCGGCCCACCCCATGCCTCAGCTTCATGTCTGTCCCATTCCTATACCATCCCACCCTGTTGTATGTATTATAGGATTTGTATTTTCTTTTTTTTTTTTTTTCTTTCCTTCCTTTCCTCTTCCTCCTCCTCCCTTGCATTCAAGATTATGAAACTTTGCTGTGGGCCCTGCCCTTCCTTCACTTCTTCCTGTTCACCCTGGTGGTATATGGGTGAGGTGGGGAGGTGGGACCCCCAAATATATATCAGCCCAACAGCCCTAAGTCTCCTCCTTTATTATTAGGAAAACAAAAACAACAACAACAAAAAAATGGCGTCATGAATATGAACAGCATTGTCAGATGAATTAGTTGAAGTGTTTTTTTTTTTTTTTTTTTTTTTTTTTTTTTTTGTACTGTGTCCTCAAATTTAATGGATTAATGTGTCTTGTATATATAAAAAGAAAACCTCTACCTTCAGCCTCTGCCCATTCTTGCTCCGTCTAGGATATCCTCAGTCTCGTCGATGACCAGCTTGGTGAATAAGTATTACCGTACCAACTGGGCCTCCTCTTGCAGGCCTCGAAGGCAGTGGAATAAAATGAAATCTTTGCCCTTTAAGAACTACTCTGACCTTAATGTGCTAGTATCTTGCCCTGGAAGGGATTCCCTTCACCCCTAACAATTTCACAACCTGAGCCTGAAAAGAGCCACTACAAATCTTCATTTCTTCCAGAAACTGCCACATCTTCAGCACATTTCAGACAGTGAAGGGAGAGGATAGAGATTGGATGGAAAGGGGGGGGGGAGGATGAAGAAGGAGCTGAGACAATTTCAAAGAAATGGCTTTAAGGAGTCTTAAGTATGACATAGATGGATCCACAAATGAAAAGAAATTGGAAGCAACATTACTTTTGGCTGGCAAACCATTTCCCTGCTAGAATTAGACTGCGGTATTTCTTGCTTTTTGTTTTTTTTTTAGTTTTAGGTGGCCACAATATCCTTATTTTTATGTGGTGCTGAGGATCGGACCCAGTGCCCGGCGCATGCCAGGCGAGCGCGCTACCGCTTGAGCCACATGCCCAGCCTTGTTCTTGAATGCCCCATGAGGCTGTTATACCCAGTCTCAGGAAGAGAGTACTCCAGAGCAAGACCTAAGGTGGGCGTAAGGTGCAGGAAGGAAGAGGCTCTGAGTACATGACAGAGTTGGGGTCTCTGCCTGTTTTAGGCTGGCCTGAAGCCACCATCCTGCCTCAGCCCCCTGACTAGGGACTACGGATGTAGGCCCGCAGCTCCAGGCTGAAAAGGGGATTTGTGACCTCTAACGGTATTGTGGATCTAACTAGGGGCGCTCTACACGGAGCCGCATCTCCCTCCCTTTTTAACTTTGTTTTGGTACTGGGGATTGAACCCAGGGACGCTTTGCCGCTGAGCTACATCCCCAGCTATTTTTTAAGACAACGTCTCAACGTTACTAAGGGCTGGCCTCGAACTAGCCGTCCTCCTGCCTCCTCCCGAGTCACCGGGAATACAGGGGTGCTCTATTGCGCCCTGCAGAAGGCATTCTGATAGCCACCAATTTGTTGCTTTACAGGATACCTGAAAAGCTTCCCTTCCCTGGTGGCCCTACAAATGCTTTGATTTTGCTGGCTGCACAGCCTGTTCAGAAAAAAAGAACCCTTTGTGGATATGATAAACTCTGAGCTGAAGAGATGAATTCCAAGCGTCCCCCTGTCATTATCAGCTCTGAGGATTTCGGTACTTGAAGGAGCTGGTAAAACACTGTCCATTCCTCTAATAGACGTGCCCCAGATCAGTTTAGAATGCGACGGAGGCAGACGGCGAGGTGGTTTCTGCGCCTGTGCCCCTTGGTGAGGCGGCTTGAGGGCCTCGGGTCGCTCCATTTGTGCGGCGGGGCTGCCCCCTGGCGGCTGTCGGAGACCATCGCGTCAACTCCTCGAAACGCCTTCGGTCGGCAGGAAAGAGTGGACCTAGGAAGGGAGGTGATCACTGGAAAGCCAAAATTTGGCAAGCATACGCGCCTCGCAGGAAACTGCCGGGGGCGGTGGGTAAAAATAAAGCCCTTCTAAAGGGCACCGCCCGCCGCGCCTCTCGGTCCTCGGGGCCTACAGTCGTTTTACGACAGTGTGGCGCATCTGAGGCTTGCTTTCTGGCAGCGTGGACTTAACGCCGCCTCAATTTTCGGCAGCGTAGTGCAGGCTTCCCTCTGGGGCGAATGGGCCGCGCAAGAGGTCCCAAGGTTCGAGTCCCAGTGCGGGAATGAGCCTCTTTGACCTCTTCCGGGGCTTTTTCGGCTTTTCTGGACCTCGGAGGTGAGAGTAGGTCTGGTCTGGGTAAAGAGGGCGGGGGGCTTCTGGGAGGAGCTTCGCCCTGTTTTGGGAAATACTTCCCTTCTCCTCCTCCAACTCCTGCGGAGAGGACGGAAGCCTCTGTGGGGCCCTCTCCGACAGTGACCAAGCCCGTCCTTCGGAGGAGGAAGAGCAGCCTTCACCTCTCCTGCCTGGGGTGATGCAACAGAGCCCGGGCGGCGCGAGGGGCGGACAATGGGCGGGCTGGGGAGGAGGCCGTGGGCAGGGTCCGGCGGGAGGCACCAGGGCCAGGCGCTGGGGAGCAGCTGCGAGGTGAGGATTGCCTTTGGTAGGAACGAAACAGAACAGGCAGAAACACCTGTCAGCTGTTTGGTGTTGACCGTCCCCGCTGTCCGTGTTGACACCCTTGAGATGGGTTATGGCTTAAGTTGTGCTGAACTCTTGGTGGCTTGATTGCCCCCACCCTCCGCCACAGAGATCCCTTTTTTGGAGGGATGACTCGAGACGAAGATGAGGACGATGAGGAAGAGGAAGAGGAAGGAGCCCCATGGAGCCGTGGGAACCGGAGGTTTGATGGTTCCCAGCACCCAGAGGAATTTGGCTTCAGCTTCAGCTTCAGCCCAGAAGAAGGGATGCGTTTCCAGGATAACTTCGGCTTCGATGACCTCGTACGGGACTTCAATAGTATCTTCAGCGAGATGGGGGCCTGGACCTTGCCTTCCCGCCCACCTGGTGTGTGGATTTCCCTGAGGGAGAACCCAGGGGTTTCTAGTGGATTGGTGGGTGAAATAAGGAGCCTATGCAGGGAGTAGTTAGGGGACAGAAAGTGTGAGAAGACGTGATTTCCGAGAGATTTAAGGGACCCCAGTATCCACCTGCCACCTTTCTACAGAGCTTCCAGGGCCTCAGTCGGAAGCACCTGGTGAGAGACTGCAGGAGGGACAGACCCTTCGGGACTCAATGCTTAAGTACCCAGATAGTCACCAACCCAGGATCTTTGGTGGGGTCTTGGAGAGTGATGCAAGAACTGAGTCCCCGAAACCAGCACCAGACTGGGGGTCCCAGAGACCTTTTCATAGGGTGAGTACCCTATCCAAGCCTGAACTGAGAGTCTAAGAGACCAGCAATGACTAGAATCCTTGTTGGCCCCTCATAGACTTGGTTTGGAATTCTACGCCCTTCACTTAGTGTATTTGTCTGGTTTTGTTTTGAGGTGCTAGGGATCAAACCCATGGCTTGCCTTGCGCTAGGCAAATGCTCTAGTACTGAGTCCATCTCCCAGCCCTGTTTTCTATATTAAGTTTTTTTTAAGTTGGAGGAGGATCCAATAACTTTATTTTTTTATGTGGTTCTGAGGATAAAACCCAGTGCCTCACATGTGCTAGGCAAGCTCTCTACCACTGAGCTGGGACAGTCCCCAGTCCTTTGAAGGGTTTTTTTTTTTTTTTTTAAATTGTTAATGGACATTTATTTATTTACATGCCATGCTGAGAATTGAACCCAGTACCTCACACATGCTAGGCAAGTGCTCTATCACTGAGCCCAGCCTGGAGTTCTGCTTTTTATTAAAAAAAAGAAAAAAAAAACAAAACCCAGTGATTCTTGGCTAAAGCAAGATTATTGGAGGAATACAGGGAAATATCATTTTAGGAAGACTTTTTGGTAGAAGGATAAGGAAAACAGCCAGGTAGGCGTAAGTAAATAAAGCTATGCTGAATGGAATCGTTTCTCTTAAGGAAAGGGGGGTTGGGGAACTTTAGTGGTTTGGAGTCTGTGATCCTTCAAGTGTCGAGGGTGACTTTTCACCTACTATGGCTTCTTCTACAGTTTGATGATATGTGGCCAGTGACTCCCCATCCTAGAGCCAGAGAAGACAATGGTGAGTGTGGAGGGGAGGGGACATTTATCATCCCTCTGTTATTCTGAAATTCTGTCTCCTCTCTCTCTCTGAAGTTTTTTCCTGGTGTACTTGTTGCCTTTTTTACTTGAACTGTCTCTTTTGGTTCTTTATCTCTTTGCTTTTTCAGATCTTGATTCCCAGGTTTCCCAGGAAGGTCTTGGCCCAGTTCTCCAGCCCCAGCCCAAATCCTATTTCAAGAGCATCTCTGTGACCAAGATCACTAAGCCAGATGGGGTGAGTTGGGAGAGAGGAGTAAAGGAAACTGGCCAGGGAATACCCCAGAAAGAGGCCTTGAATAAAGAAACCACTGACCTTTAGTGATGTTAGCATATGGTGGTGACTTCTGCTTGTAGATAGTGGAGGAGCGCAGGACTGTGGTGGACAGTGAGGGCCGGAGGGAGACCACAGTGACCCGTCAAGAACCAGAGAGCAGTCCTAGATGTGGTAAGTTAAGAGTATGAGTCAAAAGGGCCCATCTCAACTCCTTGGGGAAAGGAAACTCTTGCTCTTGTACCCTTTAATATTATTTTTCTCCTTTGCCTCTGACCATTCTTGTCATTTAGTCAATCTGTTTATGACTTTCTTCCTTAGATCCAGAATCACCAAGACCTCCGGCCCTGGATGATGCTTTTTCCATTCTGGATTTATTCCTAGGACGTTGGTTTCGGTCCCGGTAGCCTTGTTAATCTTAGGGGCCTTCAGGTCCTTTCTACTTCTCACTCATTGCCCACCATCATTAAGCTTAGCTTCTTCTGCCACCTCAGGGGCTTGGGTATGTGGAACAGTGATTTGGGGGTGTGTTAGTCTGCCACTCACCTAGACTGACCAATAAAACCTTTATTTATGCTACAGGTCTTGGTCTTTCTTTTGTTAACACTGTTTTACTTTCCAGAATCATGCAGCGCTTGATATTCTGGCTTAGTTTTCTCCTTATTTTTATTTTTTAAAAAATATTTTCAGCCAGCTGCGGTGGGGCTCATCTGTAATCCCAGTGGCTCAGGAGTCTGAAACAGGAGGATTGCGAGTTCAAAGGCAGCCTCAGCAATGATGAGGCACTAAACAACTCAGTGAGACCCTGTCTCTAAATAAAAAACAAAAATAGGGCTGGGGATGTGGCTCAGTGGTTGAGTGCTGCCCCTGAATTCAAACCATGGTACCAAACACACACACACACAATGTGAGTGTGTGGGTGTGTGTGGTGTGGATGGGCCCAATACCTTTATTTTGCTTATTTGTTTTTTTGGGGTGCTGAGGATGGAACCCAGTGCCTCACATGTGCTAGGCAAGCACTCTGCCACTGAGCCACAGCCTAGCCCCCCTTCTTATTTTTAAAGTTTTTGTTCCACTTCCAAACCTGATTTACTATAGAGTCAGATACCATTGGAAACTGATTTCTTATTGGGGAGATAACTGCAGATCATGCCAATAACATTTCTAAGAAAGGATACATCAAGCTGAGCACAGTGGCACATCTAATCCCAGCCATTTGGGAGGTTGAGGCAAGAGGATCACAATTTGAGGCCAGCTTAGGCAATTTAGTGAAAGCTATCTCAAAACAAAATATAAAGGACTGGGGATTATGCTCAGGGGGAAAGCACTTGCCTAGCACATGTGAGGTCTTGGGTTCGATGCCCAGTACCATCACCACAAAAACAACAACAATACATCAATACAGCAGATTTCCCCTCAAACGGTGTGTTTGGTATGAAGTAGGGGATGACTGTTTTTCCTAAGTGCAGGACCACTGACTGGATAATTCACAAGATAATATGAAGAAGTATATAGGTGAATATTTCTTTACTGGCTATGTTTTTATTTTTATGTAAGTTAGAAAAGTATAACTTGTACAAACATTACTAGATCTTTTTCTCATTGAAAACTTTTTTTTTTTAAGTACTATAGTTAGGAATGGCAGGTTTTACACATTTACTTCCCTCTGTTTTCTCTCTAAACCACACAAAAATGATGACAAAGGGATTTTTATAAAAAGGCATAAGTATAAGTATCAAGGACAGGAATTGATAATACTGAAATTTCTTTTTTTTTCTTTTTTTTTTTTTTTTTAGTTGGACACCTTTATTTTATGTATTTGTTTTTATGTGGTGCTGAGGATGGAACCCAGGGCCTCACTAGGTAAGCGCTCTACCACTGACCCACAACCCCAGCCCTGAAATTTGTCTTTTTATTAAAATATCTTTTGGTTGACAGAAGCTGTTGATTTGTTATAGCCAAATTTATGTTCTTCTTTTATGATTAGCGTTCTTTTTTTTAATATTTATTTCTTAGTTGTAGTTGGACACAATATCTTTATTTTATTATATGTGGTGCTGAGGATCAAACCCAGGGCCTTGCACATGCTAGGCGAGCACTTTACTGCTGAGCCACAACCCCAGCCCTGATTAGCATTCTTTATAACTTTCAGAAATCTCTCCTAACCCAGAGTTTAAAGGATATTTTCCTATTTATCTGGTAAAAGTTTTATTATAGTTTTTTTCTATAATAAAAACTACCTGGAATTTATCTTGGTGTATGGTCTGAATTGGGAGAAAACTTTGTTTTTTCCCATTTGGAAATAGTATATTAATGGTTAGATAAGTATAAATATACACACCTGTGGGCTGCGGCTCTAGCTCAGAGGCAGAGCACTTGCCTAGCATATGTGAGGCACTGGGTTCAATCCTCAGCACCACATAAAAGAATAAAGACTTGCTGTCCACCTACAATATAAAAAAAAAATTTTAAAGTATACTAGGTCTTTCTATTCTGTGCTAGGTCTTTGTATTCTCTTATACTCATCTACTTACCTGTCTTTGTGCCTGTATCACACTTTAAATATCACTTATGTTTAGTCTTTCCATCTTTTATTAAATAAATTCTCTTAATTGCTGGAGTTTATAAGAATACATTGGTTTTTCCAGTCATTTCTTTAGAATTTCACCATAAATACAAATGAAGCCAAAGATCACCATAAATGAAGAAAGCCTCTAACACGAGTAATGGAGACTCATACAAAAGAAGCAACTTGGAAGAAACAGACTAGGAAGAGGAAACTTAACCAGTATCATCTTTAGAAATATGAAATAATATATTATGTCCTTAAAACTACCTAGGGTGGTGGTATATAACTGAAATTCCAGCTACTGGCGAGGCCAAGGCAGAAGGATTCCAAGTTTGAGGCTAGCCTGGAAAACTTTGTGAGACTGTCTCAAAATTAAATGAGCTGGGAGTATAGCTCAGTGATATAAGTGTTTACCTAGCATGTTCAAGACCCTGGGTTTAATCCTCAATGCTGGGGGGTGGAGGGGAAGTAATAAAAAATTACAAAAGGATGCTAGAAAAGAAAAGAGCAAAAGAACCTCAGAGACTTAAAAATGTGGTAGCAGAAATGGAAAAATAAATTATTTTGAAGACAAAGTTGAAGAAATATCCAAAAAAGTAGGTGAAATAAAAAAATATGTAAATTATCAATGAAATAAGAAAATATCCCAAGATAGAAGGATACTTTAAAAAAACAAACAAAAAAACTTTATTTATGTTTATGTGGTGCTGAGGATGGAACCCAGTGCCTCGCATGGGCTAGGCAAGCTCCCTCCAATGAGCCACAACCCAGCCCCCTGGATATTACTTTATAATCTGAAAGGACCCACTACATGCTAGACATGAAGGATAAAGATAAACCTACTCCAAGGCACACCATGTGAGATTTTAGAACACTATAGAGACAAGGAGAAATGTTAAACTCGGTGGGGAGGGGAAGAGCTCACAAAGGATTAGGAATCAGAACATAAACTTTAATAGCAACATGAATTAAGAAATGGGCTGGGGTTGTGGCTCAGTACTGGAGCTCTTATCTCACCATGTGAGGCACTGGGTTTGATCCTCAGCACCACATAAAAATAAATAAAAGGCATAAAAATATTTTTTAAAAAAGTACAGTGGAGCCAGGTTCTTGGGAGGCTGAGGCAGGAGGATCCCTGCATTTAGGAGTTCCAGACTGTTTGAGAGAAAATAAACAAAAAATAAGACTGGAAGGCTGGGAATGTGGCTCAGTGGTAGAGCGCTTGGCTACCACGCGTGAGGCATTGGGTTCAATCCCAGTACCACATCAAAAATAAATAAACAAAGGCATTGTGTCCATCTACAACGTGTGTGTATGTGAGAGAGAGAGAGAGAGAGTGGAGAGCCACCAATTCCACTACTGGGTATAAATCCAAAGGAAATGAAATCAGTATGTTGAAGAGATGAATCAACAGAAGTGTCCAACAAATAAGTAAAATATCTTTAAAAATAAAAATTAAGAGCCACCCACAGTGCCATGTGCCTGTAGCTGTGGGAGACCATGAGGCTGGAGGATGGCTTGGCTTCAGGAGTTCAAGGCCAGCCTGGACCACAGAGGGAAACTATATCTCAAAAAAATACATAAAAAAATTTTAAAAAGCAAAGAAAAAAAGGGAGCAGAGAACTTACAAATACTGAAGGAAAATTACTTCAATCTAGAATTGTATACTATAACTATCAAATGTGGGAGGGCATTAGACACTTTTATACATGAAAGGTCTCCAATATTTGGGTCTCATGTACCTATGAGGAAACTTCTGGAGGAAGGAAGGGGTGGTTGTAATCAGGGATCTCCCTCTTCATCAGAAAGCAAGCTTTGAATTGGCTCAAAAGAGGGAAGAACTCCATAATGATGAAAGGAGGTTCCATGATATGGCTGTGCTTTCGATAAAGCAAACGGTCTAGGCTACAGTGTGTCAGAAGGGTCCAGATGTCTTCAAAAAGATGAAACTAGCTGGGCACAGTGGCACATACCCATAATCACAGCTACTTCGGAAGCTGAGGCAGGATGATCGTTAAGTTTGAGGTCAACCTATCTCTAAATAAAAATGCTAGGGAAATAGCCTCATGTGGCTTATAGAATTATTTGATCCTCAAAATAAAAAGGTTTGGGGTTGGGGTTGTGGTTCAGAGGTAGAGCACTTGCATAGCATGTGTGAGACGCTGGGTTCCATCCTCAGCACCATATAAACAAAGATATTGTGTCCACCCAAAACTAAAAAATATTAAAAAAATAAAAAGGCTCAGTGGTAAAGCACCCACCAGATTCAATCCCCAGTACAGGGGGGAAAAAGCTAATTAAAACAAAAATTTTTTTTTAGTTGTAGATGGACACAATATCTTTAATTTTTATTTATTTATTTTTATATGGTGCTGAGGATTGAACCCAGTGCCTCACACATGCAAGGCAAGCAGTTTACCACTGAGATACAATCTCAGCCCTGATATATTTTAATTATTGAAAAAATTTAACAATTGTGGGGCAAAAGAGTTTGGGATTTGAATAAAGGGCAAGTGCTTAGAAAACTAAGTTAACAAGACAACAGTTGCTCTATTAATTGTATCAGGGATACAAAATGAGGAGTTTAGTTAAATTATACCATATGGCCCACTTTTTTGGTTGTGGTAGTACTGGGATGGAATCCAGGTATGCCCTACTACTGAATTATAAATCCAGCCCATTTTATTTTTTCTTTCAAGGCAGGGTTTTACTGAGTTGCTGAGGCTGACCTCATACTTGGGATCCTGCTTCAGCTTCCTGAGTAGCCAGGATTACATGGGTGTGCCCCTGCACCCCACTGGCCTAGCTTTAAGTGGCATATACTATGATAACAAATAATATTGCTACAATATAAGGTATAATGGGTCTTTGTTGGGAAGGCAGAGGAATTGAAGTATGCATATTTTTGTGGGGAAAGGACAGAATATCTAAATAGTGTAAAGTTGATAAGTAGTATCTAAAACAAAAATAACATGTAACACTATGAGCATATTATTTGGAGATACAATGG